TCCACGAAGAAATGACTTTTGGAGGCTCGGAAGATGTTATTCGTAATCAGCTCGTTAAACTGAATCTGAATATGTATAATAAAGTCAAAAATAAATTCCACTGTAAGTTTGCATTAGCTGAACCTTACTATCTAACATATGATACAGAATTATTTTACTGACACATTTTTTTTCCGTTTTTTTCGAAAGGGTACAATGCCAATGCAACTCACTCATATATATATATATATATATAAGGTAACGCTCGCCTCCACTCGCTTGGCTGTGCCGTAACCTGGTTCGCAGCCACTATAGCTGAGAAACGCTATGAACTTCTCTGATTCCACGGAAAAGCTAAAAGGTTTTCTGGACACCATCTACAGGTCCTAAGGAGATTGGAAGTATTTTTAATCCATTCGTTATGATAGATTATGATAGATTCTAAGTTTTATCATCCGTAGGCGACTTTTTTTGTATTATCACAGTTGACTGCTACCTGGCGATGTCTATCCCCGGCCTACAGAAAACGTTAGCTTAGCTTTTTTCTCTCTGCATCAGTAGAAATTTTAGATCATCTCTTTGAATATTTTCTCTCTCGTGATTTAAAAGAAATTTTTTTATGCTTCTCGCACACGCAGGCAGATAACCATTTTATAAGACCCTAGATTAAAGTTTAACAACAAATTTATTTTTGATTTTTCTCATAAACGGGAGCAGCTAGAACGAATCCCAGTGTACAGGCGTGTAGATAACTCTTTTGAGTATTTAGATAGACAATAAAAAAAGTTCAACTTTAATTTAAGCAGATCATCCGGTCGCATATAATGAAAAATACGTTCAGAAAATGACTTTATCGGTATTGCTGGAGATTTTGAAAAGTGAAACGGATCGACACTCCCAAGCCGTTAGAGATTTTCAATAAGAAAAACTTTTGTGTTTTAATACTTTTTGAAGCTCAAAACTAAGCCGTTCGTAAGTGTATAAATATTTGCGGTTAAAATAAGGGGTGTTGCGTAAAAAAAGAAAAGAAAATGGCTGGCTGACAAACAGAAGAAACACAGAAACAGAAACAGTAAAGTGTGGATGATGGATTATAGGTGCATAAAAATAAAGGCTTCTATGCACTTTCTATCTAAATAATAACTTTATTATTCTGACGTACGATAGATTGTTTTGTCTGGTAAAATACATTGAACACAAAGAAAAGGAAAGAAAAAGGATTTTTGAAGTTCTAACTCATAATTATCATTCAACTCATAAAAAGTGCATCAACCATCTTATCATCGTCGGCCTAATGTTACACACATTTTTGAAGAAACGATTTTGTATAATGTTCAACATACAGTATTCTACTTACTACAATGATGACTTTGCGATCTATTTTTTGTAAATAGATATTTCAGATTAATTGAATATTTAATGAAGTTTAACCCAATACACCTTTTAGTTTATGTTCAAACGTGGTTTAAGCTTATTGGACTGAGTATCATTCTGATAACAGATAAACTAGTATTCTGAATACTTTAAAATACACGTAAAAAACCAAACATATCTAATCCGATTCATCACTTCCATGGGATTCTTATGAATATAAACTCTGTTAATCACATATCACCTGAAGTGATCAATAGAACAAGAACTATTTGGTCTCTTGTTGGACAACTTCCTGTTAGAGAAAAAGTCTAATGCAATAAATTGGATTCAGTCGACTTTGTGTTTAGTTTCATTCAAAGATTTAGTTTAAACAGCACAACCAGACTATATCGACATTTAATGTCAAGCTATAATAAACATTGTCATCCAGTAAAAAATAATTCAGATCTTGTTATAGTTAAACTTGGTCTTAAACTCATACATATTGCAGATGTTATACGATTCAAATGATTCTTTAATTTTGGAATGTATGAACTTGTTCATTTTGTTCAAAAACACATTCAACAGAAATCCAAACGTTTCTTTTAGCCTAAATTTTGAGCGTAGTAGAAATAAACAGTGCCCAGTTTCTCGACCTTCGCTTGATTCGAAAAATCAGTTTTTTTGTAATATTGTCGGTTTTTGAGCTAAAGTAAAATTTTCAGTTTTCCAAATTTTTCTCCTGTCACATCCAGTTCCGAAAGTCAAAACATATATATTCCGACTCAGCTCGACGAACTCTGTCAAACCATGTATGACTCGTTTAGGAAAAAAAATAGTGCTCATCCTTTGAATTACAGTTTGACATTTAGACCTTCAGTTCTGTCCCGATAAATTTTTTATTAGTAAAAGTCAATTGCAAGCGAGTTGTACACATGTTTTCTTCCTTTTCCTGAAAAATTGACTGTGTTTTATTATATTATTTGTTTTAATAAAATATTACTTTTGAATAAACGTTTTATACTTTAGTTTTTGTACTTTTAAAGAACAAGACAAGAGAGTAATAAGAAATAAGTAGTGTGTTTTCTTCTTTCGCGTATTTGTGCGTAGACGTCGTAGACATTTTTATTTTTTTTACCAGCATACAACACAATGAAGTGTTCACCTTTTACCTTGTTGAGAGTGATTAATTCCTTTCTGTGATAAAAATATGTTTACGAAACTAATCTTTTTCATGTAGAGAAGCGACAGACATAACGAGACTTTCAAATCACCATGGAGATACGTTGGAAAGAAAATGTTGTAACAATTTGTTTCGTTTTCTGATCTAGTCAGAGAAGAAACAAACAACAACAGCACACATTCTTCTTTCTTTTCTTGTCTACACTATTTACCGATAAAATAAAATATTTTCAAGTGTTTCTGCAGAACGCAAAAGTTTTTTCGTGAAAAAATTGCGCATTTCTTCGAACATGGTTTCTACTCGACCGTATACAAAATATCATATTTTGTGTCATATTACCACACATCTTTCAACGCAAATCCTTCCATCGTACGCAACATGGTCCTCGGTAATGGTCCCGCAGTTATATGGTTAGATGCTCACATTGGCGCGGAAGGGAATAATCGAGACATGAAGAAACTCTTTAATGATCAGGTCAGTGCATCCCTTGAACTACCGCCTATCAATGAAGTTGATGCTTTGATCTGTGGGTATGTGGACGACTGGCGCGCTGTCGGTGCTCCTGTCAAAGCTACTGATACTGTGGAAAAAGCTGAGGCTCTCATTGCTGAATTCCAAGACAAGGATGTGAAATTCATCTGCTCGGCCACACTGGGGAGATTGATCATTCCCAAGTTGGTCAAACAATTCCCTCACATCTTGTCGTATTATATTTTTTGCGGGAATATCAGCCTCCACCTTGATTGGGCTATGGATTATATCGATTGTCTTCAGATGTTTGATCATGAAGATAATCTGCTTGCGCGATTAACAAAAGACATAGCGATCGATTTCCGAAAACATGGAAACCATTACCAGGAACTGAACAATCTCGAGCGAGCGAACGAATGTTTTCAACATGCACAAACGCTCGAAGAACGAAGTAATAAACGTGTCGGGCCTCATCATGTACGAGACGTTAATTATAGAGATGCATGACTCTCTTATTTATACTATTGCCCTTTAATGCTGACAATGTTATTTTCTGATAGTTTAGAACGTTACTTTGAAACTCGTTTAAGATTATCCTAATTTTAGTTATAATTTTGCCGAAAATAAACGATCCATTGTTGAGCTTATTTGACAAAGATGTTAGGCGAAAGCCGGAACAGGATAATGATGTCGCTCAGGTATGTTTTATACGCAAATATCAAAGAAAAACGTGGAAGAAAATAATCGAATTTTAGATGGTTCGATACAGCTTGTTATTTAGACCATGAATATCAACTTTATTTTGTGTAAAAGAAATTTATTTTATTTTACCAATCCTGTACTATACAGAAAAGGAAAGAGAACAACTTATGTGACATAATCATATTAAGTAAAATTTCAACAAACATTATCGCTGACTATTATGACCCGAAGAGAAAATCAGAAGGTCATGGTGATCAAAAAGAGTTTATTTAACTGTTGAACATAAAAGACACGATGATTTTCTTATGCTCGGCTGTGATATTGATAGAAATATAACTCAATTAATAAAATATAAGTATCTTTTTCTACAAAATAGCTTAGCGTAGAGTACAAATTGTGTCCTTCAAACTTGCATAAAAATTGGAGACGGGTATATTCTAATTATTTTTATTTTAATTCACGAAGTTGCTAGAATATTGGATATACTTACAGTGAGCACTGCTCCTTTCGAACATAGAATAAATGAACATTTCAATCAAAATATAAAACGTTTTCTTTTTTTATTTTGTTCTCACGTACTACATACATATACATACGAGCAAACAAGAAAAATAAGATCAAAGAAAAGAAAAATAGACGCAGTGTGCCTGATGTGTACAGTCGAATATAGTGTAATATACTGTGAAAACCTAAGTGGAGTCCAAAGAGCCCAGAAGTTGGAAATACCCCGACGAGATTTTTGCGCCGTACAATGTAGCTCGTCACGCTGATTTCGAATATGTAAAAATCTCGAGATATGCATGCACCTCTAGAAAAAAAACTATCAAATTTTGATGTGAGAGTTGCGTGGGATACCCGGGTCGTTGATTCCAGTGTCAGGATCCTGACAGACGTTGTGGGAGTTCGATAAAATCTTGCAGCAGTCATGCTGTATTATGCCCGAAATTCGTGCCGGAAGATGTCGGAAAAGATCCGACCGAATCCTTCGAGTTTCAGACATCGAATTTCGCTCGATCTGGCAGAATGTGATCAGTTTTCAGGTCTTCTGAGGCTAAAAATGGCCTTAAATTTTTTCTTTCGTTTTCTAGTGTTTCTTCTCTGCGTTCATTCGAGAGAGCGGAAGAGCACACTGGCTAAGACGTGTGCAATACGTCGCTTGAACAGTGTGAGCGATGACTCACACCGATAATTTGAGAAAAACAACTTCTCATTTTTCATTTTCTGTAGTGTCGTATTTAAAGTGCTCCTGTCGTGAAATAAAACGGTGAATATATTAAGCGCACAAGAAAGAAAGAAAAAGAATAAAAGCACCGGATAACATTTCCGGTCAGCAGAAATTAACGATCTGATCCTCCAGGAACCAAATATCGGAACGCGAAGGAATTGAGCAGACTTCGATCTCCAAATCCGATCCGATTGGACGCTCGATCTCCGGAAATCACCGGAATTAAAAGGATCCGATCGGGTGAATTCGACCTGGGTATTCCCTGGGAATTCGATCTGGGTAAAATCGAACTCCTCGTTATCGGAAACTGTAGTGTTAGTATTATTATTAAAAAATGAGAAGCAACAGCCCGTTTGTCCGCTAAACGAGAACAACGTCTTAAGTTTTATTGATCAGTATATCAGTTGAAATCTGGTTTTCTTTTTATTATTTATATTTCTTACAGATCCAACCTATACCTTCACAATCATAATCAAACATTGCATCAGCATCATGCTAACGATTCTTTGTAGCATCATATCTGCCAGTTTTACCCATATATGCATTATCACAATTACGGCAGTTAATTCCATAGACCAAGTTAGACTGTAATAATCTGGATATTTTATCTTTTATTTGAGGAACACAGCTAACAGTTGTTTGTGGTCTCATAATTTTTTTAAATCCAATTGTAGTTGTGTAGTTTTAACAAAGTTTTTAAGTTTTTTTACCGGAAATTTTTGACGAGTTGTACATATCGACAGTAAATCGTTATTTATTAAAATTGTCACTGTTAGTGTTTCTAATGATTGGTGGTCCCCGCGAGAGCAAAGTGGTTTTTCACTTTGAAAATTCGATGTCCACTGTTTTTATCAGGGAAACATGGAAATTCAGTGGTAAACTGAGGAAAACCACTTCACTTAAAATTCTCATTAGAAACACTGGTCAGATTGCCTGCACTAAAGCATGGCGTATTAAAACAATTGAGAGAATGATCAACGGATGGGAATCGCGCTATACATAAAAATTATTGTTTTGATCGTGTAAAACTGTTTTATACAAATTTGTTAACATAGTAATCCGATGATTAAACATATGAACATAACATAACCAATTAGAAAGTTATCATACATTCAATTAAGAAGAATCATGTGCTAATTGGTTTATTTTCTGATTTAATTAACTGAGTACATGATTTCGAACCGACTACAGTAACATATTCTTTTCATTTATGTGTATATATTAAATATACACATAAATGAAACACATTTTATCATTTTTACGTATACTATTTGTCTATGCGTCAATACTTTATGCTGATATTAAACAAGAGTTAAAATCATTTTAAACGCAGCATTATTTAAACAGAAAAACACCTTATTAACGCCGGCTTATATTAAACACATATTAAAGAGGTAAGGCCTCATTATAAAGGGACAGTTATTACTGCCGTCGGCTTATATTAAACACATTATATATCGAGTTATAGGGTTTCTAAAACTGAACAACTTGGTGTTTGAAAGTTTTTCGGTAATTTTTCTATTACTCGGTAAATAAAGGTCTAAAAGAAAATTTCAACATTATACCTCTGCGCTATGACCTTACCTCAGGTAAAAGTTTTAACTCGACCGGATGAAATTTAAGAGGGGAGTCGTAATGTGGTTCAATGAAAAACCGAGTTTTCTGAAAACGTGGTGAACGCCAATAGCTAGAAAGTTGAAACAAAAGTGAAAAGTGCTCGATTGAGTTTTCAATCAGTTCTTAAAATATGAAACCTTTGTGACTTTTAGTTTTTACTCTACAGTATTCCTACGAAAAGCCTAAAAAGAGCGGAGGGGTACCCTTAAATGATGATTTCTGCGACAAATGTATTCAGCATCTATACGGTAAGTGTCTGACAGCCTTTATAAATAGCCGACACATTTGACGCAGAACCATGTGCTTATTCTATACAATTGTCAAATAATAATTTATAATGGTTTAAATAATCTAGAGTTATGCTGACATTTGATTAACAAAGCAATACCGTTTACTGATCCATCATAATTAAAGTTGTACAACAATGTGTTTACGCCGATTTGGCAGCAAAAGCATTGAGTATTATAGATGCAAGATTTTGTAAACAATTGAAAAGAACGGGATGGACTAGAAAACTTTTTTGAATGGGTTTCGTGTAATATTTTGGTTTGTTACTTTTTTTTGTCCCGGCCGAACCGAGCAAAGAATTTTCGCAGATCTCTGTATAAGAATACTTTTGAACAAAATGTTTACGTGCACCTATTCCCCACGCTATCTGGGCGATCTGATATAATTGAAAATCCGAAATCACACGTGGGACTGTCTCTATTAAGACTTATTAATGCTTTATTTTCGATTTAAACTTTAAAGGGACCCGTTTGTTTGAGAAATTGTTTTACGTCAGTCAGGGTAATCAACTTTTTCTTTTTTTGTTAGATGGCTTTTTAAACCTCATTTTTAGGGTGACCATGAAAAATTAATGCAAAAACAAGGAACTTATTTTAATCTGGTAGCAACACAAGAAAAATCAAACTAGAACTCCTTTTTATGTGAAAATGTTTACTGTCATTATATTAATCAAGTATACACTAGTAGAACATCGAACGAATATTATGATCTCTTCTGTCAGTTAGCTATGACAATGATTGTTTTTACCTAAAATTAAAGATACACTTCAGACATTTTTATTACGCAATGGCTATTGGCACGTTCGGAGGTGTCACCAAGGAGCTATTGCCACCTTCAGGTGTCAACTAAACCTATTGCTACCCTCTAAGAGTGTCAAATACAGCTATTGCCACCTCCACACATAGTATACTATGTTAGATGGTGTCAGTTACCGTAATACGACTGTTCCGCGAATTTTTCATAATATAAACTTGGAATGGCTATTGACACCTCATCGAACTGGCAGCAAGAGCTATTGACGGTCCAAAATGCACTTATACACTACAGAAATGTGTTATTCAAAGTGTTATGCTGAATTAGTTCTGAATTTCACTGTCTGCGAGAGGCGGTTTCGGGTGAATTGGGGTAGCTGTGCATGAGAGTGAGCCACTATAATACTTCCATGTTGTCTGGAGATGATGGTCTTTATTGTATAACACGTTTGTACAGTATATAAGTGCATTTTGGACTGTGAATAGGCCCTTGCTGCCAGTTCGATCGGGTGTCAATAGCTTCGTGCTGTCAGTCTTGGAGCCCTAAATAGTTCGTTGCTGCCACCCCGGGGACGTCAATAGCCTTATCCATATAAATTTGGGTATTTCTGGTGGGTATTGGGAGAGGGAGGATGAGAGCAGTGTGAGAGTGCGTTGAAAAAGTTGTTTCACACAAAATGTTTTGCATTACATAGTGTGAATTTGCTTTAGCTTTCCAAATACTTATGTATTTTATAGTTAGTTCTAGGTGAAGCTCTAGTTGACACCGATAGAATGTGCCAATAGCTCCTTGTTGACACCTCCGAAGGTAGCAATAACCGTCAGCACCACCTTCTGAAGGTGGCTATCTCCTTGTTGACACCTGGCAATAGCGCTACCCTTTTTATTATTTCAATAGTCGAACGTACGTTTTTCTTTTTTGA